ATAATGCCCAATCAGAAGAATTAATGATAGAATCCAAAGATTGTGGTAGGTAGCAGCTACTCTTCCACAAATGCAGTTTAAAAATGCTTACCATCACCTCCACTATTCCTTCATTACGGGGTGTTCCCAAACAGACATTAACCTTTCTCTACTGAAGAGTAGGAAACTATAGTAAAAGTCAAAGAATCAAGCCACCTTGTATGATGATATTTTTTTTGACCTGGAATGGACAAAGCATTTCTTGATTCTAAAGTTTTGGGGGTTTCTTTGACCTCATGATGTCCTAGACTGTGATTTAAGTGATGGATAGATTGGAATCAATTGCATGTACTCTAACTATCTCTGCTATTGCTTCTGTGCAATTGTGCTGGAGCAGCAAATGAAGGATTAGAGGGTAGCTCTCCGGGGGCAAGGAAAATACACATCAATCTGTTGCTGCTGCAGCGTAATGTGGATGATGCAAAGCCTGGTAGCCAAAGATCACCGCACATTGTTCTTCTGAAGGGAAGGGGCAGCTGGAGGAAAAAAAAACAATAACAACAACTATTTTGTTCTTATCTGTGGCTGTCCAACAGTCTCTCACTCCTTCTCCCACTGCACACACGTACACAAACATAGAGCAAAATATGGGATCTTCAGAATTATAATCAGCTGTTGATTATCAGATTGCTATAAAATGGCAACATATGCCATTTCATGATGACCAGCATGGAACAGGTTTGGCAAGAAAGACTCTTGTTTTTAATTCTAGGGAGTGGACATTTCATAAAATCCTTTCCCTCTTTCACTTCTGCTGTTTGCTGTTGCAGAAGAGAGGTGAAGATTTCCCGCCAGTCTTTTCCCTGTGCAACTCACAGCCATTCTGGAGGATTCATTGGGTCTGTTACTGGCAGGAATGTTAGCCAAATCAGTGAGTGAGAACTCTGGAAAAGGAACTTCCTGGGGATTTTCAGGAGCAGTAGTTGGATTTGTTTGTTTTGTTTTTATTGTTGTTCCTCTTGAGGAAAGAAAGAAAACAGCAGGCCCTGGAAAAGATTGGGAGGCGAAGGCCTCCCTCTCTTCTCTCCTTCTCTCTGCTGACTTTAGAGTATTTAGTAGACCAGAGCTGAGATTATGAAGGAGCTGGGAGAACATTGCTGGTGTCTCAGTTAACATGGAAACAAAACACACAGCTGCATCTTCGGGAAAGGTCCGAGAACCTGAAGCCTGGGTCCTGCTTAGCTAAGGCAGGGCAAAGGAGAGAAAACCTATGGAATAAGGCATTTCCTTGCTTTTTGAGCAATCCTGAATTAGGCAGAGAACTTTAATCTATTTTTTGTTTATTTTGTTTTATTTTGTAAGTAAATGTGTGTATATAGTCTTGGGTTCAGCTTCCAGATATCATCTTCAGATGTAATATTTCCTAGGTTGTTTTCTAAATACCAAGGCTGTAAAAGCTGGTTAAAAGCATGAGTTTCGGAGGCAAATGTTCGAATCCCAACTCTGCCATTTACTAGCTGGATGATCATCAGTCCTGGAGCCGCAAATAGCTGATTTCAGTCCTGTGTCTGCCACGTACTTGTTGAATGATCCTAGGCAAGTTGCTTAAACTTCCTAAGTATCAATTCCCTCCTCTGTAAAATGGAGATAAGCATAGCACCTAATAATAGAGTTGTGGTAAGGATTTAATTAAATAATGTATGTGCACTTATAGAGCTTTCAGAACTGACGCTTGTACACAATAAGTGTTCAGTAAACACTAACATTTAAACAGCATTCTATGAGCTTAACTGTGCATTCATGCCTGGGGAGAAAATTGGCCATTTAGTACAGTATTTACTCTGAGTGACACTTGGTGGTTGCTATGCCAAGTGAAGTGTGATACTTCTCTCCTCCATGCCCCAAAGCACACGCATGTGTGCGCACACACACACACACACACACACACTCCATAAATTTGAACCTTTATAGCAGAGATGCAGCTGCATAGACTACGCCTGTAAGTAATGGGCCATAGTAGTGAGTTCAGCTATTGAACGTAGGGCGAATCAAAGCTGTCCCCTAAAATTCTACCTAGAGTAGTGAACATTACCTTAAATGACCTCCCTCACCAAGTTTGTGTACCGGAAGAGATCAAATAGTACTGTTCTCATCTTCTGTCCAATTTTGGCAGCCTACTGCAAAACAAACACTCATTAATAGATGCCATTTGAACCCCCTCATTGTGATTCTTGAAAGCCCAACTCTAAGGTAATTTACCCATGTCTGAAAAAGGAAGGAAAAAAGAAACTCTTGCTGACTTCTTTTTGCTCCAATGCTCCGGCAAACCATTTAAGTTAGGTTTTAATCACTATTGGTAACACTTCTGCTCAAGCTATAATGAAGTATGTCTGTACACATGTGAAACCCCAGGAGGAAAGAACCCTCAGACAACACTGAAGCTTCAGTCAGGCCTTCCCAGGAAACCACACAACTCACGGACCACTGGGAATAGATTCAGATTTTCACAGATGTTACTGCTTCAGAATAGGGACCTTCTGTGTAGTTCATATAATCAATTCCAGCCAATTCTCCCTGCCCTGTTTTACTCTCCAAAGGGGAATACACTTGTAAAACTCAGAAGTGTCTGAACAAGAGAAGGAAGACACAATAGCATGGAGAGAGGATAGAGGATCGGGAAGAGAGAGAGAGGCAGACACCATATTACGATGGTTTATGACTGCTTTCTCATAAATGTTTCAGTAAGCACAAAGTCCCTTTGATTAATTTTTACAGTTTCCTTTCATTTCTTGCTAATACAGCTAACAGCAGATGCTCATTGAAGCCTATTTCAGGCTGGCATATGACCCATGCTCCTTTGTTAGCGTCTGATATATGAGGACAATGGCACTGAGCATGGAAGTTACTTGGCTGATAATTTTGTTACCCAAGATAATACCACCATTTTCTGAAACTGCAGTTGTGACAGATCAACTAGTTGCTGTGAGCAACTGGCAAAAGTACAGAGTTTGAGTTTTAGGACTTGTTTATAACCTGCTCTAAGGAAGGGACAGCTAAGCTATGACAAAGGAGGAATCATGAGCTCTGAAATAAAGAACTGCAGAGATGTTGCATAGTTACTTTCATAGTAGACTTAAGATTACTCGATGACATGCCTGTGGAACTAAACTCCTCAAGGCTAACTTAGCACGCATGCACTTTTTTAATCCATACACACAATTATAATTCTGACAAGTCAAGTGGTAGATGAAGAGACGTGCCACACAAATTTCCCTTCCAGCACAGCCTAGTTGCCCAGCTGTGGGGAGTGTGGTCAACTGACAGTCTCCAGCTGTCAGCTCCTGCAGGGTGGACCTCAGCAGCAACGAGCCTCCCTAACTGAGGCCATAGCCCACACCTGGTGACTGAGTGTGTGTGTGTGTGTGTTGGGGAGTGGGGAGGTAATAAAGATCCAGCTAATTTGGCCCAAAATGCATAGGGACATCTCTGGCAAGCAGTATTTGCTCCAGACCTCCCCCATCCATATTTAGGTTGGCTCAGGTCTTTTGGATCTGCATGACAGTTTGGCATCTCTCTCTCCTAACTTTCACAGGAGTTGATCCCTAACAAACACCTCACACACTATGCTCCGTCTCAGTATCTACTTCAGAGATCCCAGTCTGCAGCCAGACATGGTCATCATAATTTCTCACTGGAACATTTGTTTGCATTTTCTTTTTTCCAGACTCTAAGGAGCCCCAAGGACTCTAAGGTACATAGCTTGAAACCACTGCACTAAGATCAGAAGTAGAGGTAGCAGGAATTCCCCAACCATTTCACTGGCATTTGCTGTTAAGTTAGTGAGAGAAGTGAGAGTCCATACAGGATTCAGTGAGGGCTGGGCAATTTATTTATCAACATACTGAGGACTTACCTGGGTATATGGAATGGAAAAAAGAGTATCGGATTGGGGGAAATAGAGTAGACAAAATAAAGACAGGAGGACATAGTGGAGAATAGATGAGGAGAAAGAGGAATTAACCTCAGCTTAGCGTCCAATGATATCAGATAACGTATCAGAGGAGAAATTTTTCTCTTTACCCAATCTTTATGTTAGTGTTTTGAGGCTAGGTTATATTTCTAAGAAAAGTCATTAAAAATTGCCTATAAAATGGGTAAAATAGGGGAAAAATTAGGAAAAATAAGGATTCTTCAGTCTCCTCAAAGAGTTTGTGGGTGACTTTCTACCTAATTCAGAACAGCATCATTTTCTTCTGTCTTCTCAATCACTGCTTCTTTTTTTAGGCTCCCTTCATTTTTTTAACCTTACTCAGCATGGATTCCATGCTTCTACCCAAACGCATCAGCGTTCCTTCTGTTCTGGAGAGCCAGCCGCTTGCATTTCATCTCTTTGGTCCAGGCAGATGGGAGCAGTGCATCCAAACCAGTACAGTCAGAGACTTGGATGAAATCTCGTTGACTGCTGGAGTCCTTGTATTATATTGAAGTGAATGCTGGCCAATGTCACCTAAGAATATACACAAATTAAGTGCAGACAGAAGGACACATTAGAGGGAGAAAATCAGCACTAAGTACCAAGGAATGTTTATGTAAGCGAATTGATTACAAAGAAATGAATTTAAAAATAAATCAGTTTTGAAGGAAAATAGCTTAAGTGGTTAATATAGGGAAAGGAAATAGAGGAGACTAGGAAAGATTAAGAAGTTAGACAACAGAATAAACAGACACGGGAAAAATCTTAAGAATTATTAAAGAATAAAAAGCTAGGAAAAATAAGACAGGATAATAGAAAGCCCTTTTATTGCTAAAGACTTTAATTTTTAGTGCACTTCAACCTACTGCTTCACTTTTTCTCACAACATCCTATGAAAACTATAGGAGAGATCATCTTTGTCTTTATTTTTAAATAAGGATACTGAGGTTTGGAGAGGATAAAAAGCCCATTTTTATAAATTGCACCACTCATTAGTGAAAAGGCTGAGATCCACGTCCCATTCTCCTGAGTCTGAGCCCAAGATCTCTTCTCATTAGACCTTGATGAATGTCTTCTAGGACTGAGGAGGGCGAATCCTGAGCTGCCAGGACCCCTATTCTTTTTACAACCCAAAGAAAACTTGAAAGAAAATGAAGAACTTTGTCCTTAGAAACAAGCCATCTGTTACAGAGCGGAGCAAACCAGCCAGGCCTCTGTGAGCCTCACATCACTTCTGCCAGGCGCTGGCTGGGCAGCCTCTGTTGCAAGCTGTCTAGTCTCTAATTCCTGTAACTCAGGAACAATATCAACTGGTTGATGAAATGTCTGGAAGAGTCCAGGGCAAAGTAAATGCAGCAACAAACTCCAACTTAGCTCTGGCCAGGAGTGGCTCTGCAAATTCTTTCTCCTTCTGGGACAGGTAAGATCCTCCCAGTTTACCATTAGCCCGATGCCTGTAATACCAAGAGAGTATTCATGCCATTTAGATTTTTCTTTTTTAATTAACAAGGATGATCGTTCTCATCGCAGAAGAAACATATATTAAAATTGGAGCTTGTTCTTTTTTTTGTTTGCCTAAAATTTTATCAATCCCTCATAACACATCCTCAGCAATGTCGAGGAATAATAATAATCCTTCTTTTTCATTTCTTACTCTCTCTTTTTAACTCTTCTTAGTCTCATCCATGTCTTTCTTTTCTTTTTTAATTGTGGATGGGAAAGTTAATGTTGCTTTGAAATTATTGTAAGGAAGACACGATAGATCATTTCGAAAGCTTTGTATTTTGCCAAAATAATAACAGAACTCAAAGATGGCATTTTGTGATAAACAGACATGATCTATTCTGAGAAAGCAGCGTGCAAAATTGCACCTTGGATGCCAGGCATGGTCCTGCCACAGGGACTTTGCAATTGCTGTTCTCTCTGCGAGAACACCTTTACCACAGATACTTAACTCTCGCTCCCTCACCTCGTTCAAGTTTTTACTCAAATGACACATCTTAGTTACATTTTCCCTAACTACCCTAAGATTCTAATCTCTCCTAGCATACTCTACTCCCTTTTTTGTACTTAATTTTTCCCATAGAAATCATTACATTCTAACATCGTCAATAATTTACTTACAAGCTAGTGGCGGTCGACCAGAGCGATTGAGAGCATGGATGAACTCTGGAGCTCGTCTGCCCAGGTTCAAATTCTGGTTCTGTCTCTTACTAGCTCTGAAATCTTGGGCAAAGTACCAAACATTGTCTATAAATTGGGCATGGTAATAAAAACAACTATCTCATCAGGCTACTGTGGGGATTAGGTCAATGCCTAGCAAGTAAGAAGCACCATGTAAATGTTAGCAATGAAACATTTACTTTCTGTCATTAGAATGTACATTCCATGAAGGTGGCCAGTTTTGCCTCTTTTGTTCACTAATGTATTCTCAGCGACTAGATTAGTTTTTGGCCCATCGTGAGTGCTCAATAAATATTTATTGAACAGTGAAGGAAGGAGGGAAAAACGCATGGAAATGGAATCAGTCCTTTTTGTGTGTAGGGATGAGAGTCTATAATTAAACCATATTTGGCCACACACAAAGGCATTAAGCTTGACTACTTTTAATCTCTCACCTATCCTCAAATTTTTACTTGAAAGTCCCTCCATGTGTTTAAGGTAGAGAATTGACATATTAAACTTTTCCCTCTTCATTCAGATGTTCTGGTATCCACGTTAATGAGACAAAAAAGAAAAGAAAAGAAAGGAAAAATTATACTGGATGAAAGTTTCAGCATCTGTAATTCCCATAATTTCCTCAAGGGCAGAAACTCCTGTTTCATGTCTGTGTATCTGGGAAAATTACTCTGCAGGGGGAGCACAGCTCCATTGGGGTGGACGTTAAACAAGGGGAAAAAAGACAGGCACCCAGTGGATAGAACTGGAGTCACAAGGTAGTGTTTTGATATATGAACCAAAGTGTTTCTCCTTCCCAGGGCACTTGCTCTGAGATCTTACAAAAGAAAATGCCAAAAGAAAAGAAGAGTCAAAGCTCAGCTTTTGAGTGTCAAATTAAACTTTTAAATATTGTGGCAGAAAGCGGTGTGAGAGAAAAAGGGGTATGAGTTTCAAAAGCTTTGGTTTTGTTTTTCAAAATCCACAGCCCCGAGGGACATAGGGCATAAAGTTTATGCACTAAGCAATAGATGGAAAAGAACACAAAGTTGGCAAGAGCTAGTTTTTCCCATCCTGTCTCGCCCCCACCTCTCACCAAGGTTAAATTTCTCCAGGCTGGAGGAGAGAGTTAAACCAGAGGAAAGCAAGATTTTAGACACGTGCGAAAGGGTCCTCAGTCCCTGCTCCTCTCTCAGGCTGAGACTTTAGAATCCCAGGTAAGTCTGGAAGGTCTGATGGTAGGGTCAATCTGTATCTTGCTTCCTAACAGGACTTTTTGAAGACGCAGCCCACCTTGGCTGTCTCCTCTGTGCCACACAAAGGAGCTGAGATGACTAGAAAGACTCTCGTTGCGTGCAAAGTAAACTGATGAAGTTCCTGTGTCCCCTGTGTGGTGTGAGGGTCCTCCGAACTTTCACTATGTGCCTGAGAGCAGTGTAAATTTAGCCCACACCGCAGTGGTCTCTAAGGCCTTGCTGTCTGAAGAGGGCAGTATGTTAACCATGGCTTTTATTTCTGTCTTCTGATGCTTTGACATCAGGCGTCTTGCTGACCCTGGAGGGACTGCCTCTCCCAGGGTTAGCAGATTCCTAGAGATAGTAAACAACTCACCAATCCTGCTAGACAGGTTTTCAAATGCAAACCAACCATTCCAGAATCCACACCCTCAACCACCTCTTTTATTGGGCTCTCACACTTCCAGCCACTAACCCCGTGGCTTAACCATCCCAGGGCCAGGTGCCAGGCAACCAGGGAGAGTTCCTATGTCCCAGAGCCCACTGAAATTATTCAAACTAGCCAATTCTAAGCCTGCTTAACCAGCCTCACCTATTTCTTCCTGCAGAAACCACAATGAAGTCTCTTGCCCGTGGTTCCCCCACCCTCCCTCTGCGTCCTAGCAACCCTGATGCTTCCTCATGTGGCCCTCTGATGACAGGTGGTGTGTCTCATCCTCTTGGGATCTGTGGGTATAACTATTTTTAAAATGGCAGTTATCTCCTGATCCATTGTCCTGACCATACCTAAATAATGATATAACCTGTATTAAAACAGGGAGTGCCTTGCAGATCAACAAGTGGAAACCAAAAGCAAGGCTGAAGCCAGTGGAAAGATGAAGGCAGGGACTGGTTATTCCCTCTCCTGACACATGGCCTGAAGGAGCCTTCCAAAATACAGACACAACCTGGGAAAGGCAGAAAACATCCTGCGTTGATTGAGAAATCCCTAAAATCAATGAGATAATCCTGAACTGATCACGAATAAACTGACATGAATGTAAATTGGCTGAGATTGAGTTTTTACCACCCACTAGAATGCAGGCCTGAAACAGAAACTAGTAAAAGTAAAGAACAATTATATTTCCTGTACCTGTGAACTTGTAGACTGCAATATGGATACATGGATGGATAGAAGAAAGATTTGGTGTAGAAATAAAGAAAGAACGCAGTTCATTGAATTAGAGCAGACGTTGGCAAAACTATGGCCCATGGGCTAAGTCCAGCCTGTCTTTGTAAATAAAGCTTTGTTGGAACAGATCTACGTCTATGCATATATGTATTATCTGTGGTTCATTTCCAGCTACAAATGCAGAGTTGAGTATTTGTGAAAGAGACTACATGTCCCACAAACCCTCAAATATTTACTACTCGACACTTTACAAAAAAAGCTTGCCTTGAGCTAGAGAACCACTTCAGCAAAAGCTAAATTAATTTCGCAAATGCACTCTCCTGACACATGGTTGTTCAAATTTCTCCTACTGGGAATAAGCCTGGCCTCAAAATCTGGGGTAGGTGGCCTGGTTGCAGGGGTTATGAGAAACAAGAACATGAAAGAGGTGGCACATTTATTGCAGTTGCCTTCAGAGTTCCTCATATACTCCTTTTCATGTGTTGGGTGTCTGTTTATACTTGATGATTTGATTTTATATCTGGAAAGTATATGTTTTGAGTAATCCCTGGGCAATCCTACCTGTGAGTGAAAGTGGTGTGGTAATTGGGTAATCTTATTCCCTGAGTTCCAGTTTTCCAAGGATGAGAGCACAGAACACAGAATCAGGGAGTGTAGATCTTAGTTTTGATTTTGTCACACTTTCTGAGTGACTTTGTTCAAGTCATCTAAACCGGCGGTCCTCGATGGAGGTGAGGTGATAATTTGTCCCTCTATCTCAGGGGACGTTTGGCTACATTTTTGGCTTTCACAACTGGGCATGGGCTGGTGCTATAAGTAGAGTATAGGCAGGTGGTACTATGGTGGATAGGGCATGGGATAGCTGCACCCAATGAAGTCTTATCCTAAATCAGGATCTCAAAGTGATCTTAGCACTCCCATGTTCATTAAAGCACTATTCTCAATAGCCAAGATATGAAAACAACTTAAATGTCTATTGATGGATAGATGGATTAAAAAAAGGGTATACACATACAATAGACTATTATGCAACCTTTAAAAAGAAAGAAATTCTTCAATATGCAACAACATGGATGAACCGTGAGTACATTATGCTAAGTGAAATAAACCAGGCACAAAAGGGCAAATACTGTGTGAGTCCGCTTATATGAGGTATCTAAAATAGTCAAACTTGCAGAAGGAAAAAATAGAATAATGGCTGCCAGGTTCTGGGTGGAAGGGAAATGGGGAGTTTCTAATCAACATGTATAAGATTTCAGTTATGCAAGATGAATTAAGTTCTAGAGAGAATGCTGTACAATATGGTGTCTCTAGATAGCAATACTGTGTTGTACATTAAAAATCTTTTAGGGGGTAGATCTCCTGTTAAGTGTTCTAACCACAATAAAGTTTAAAAAAAAAAAGATCTAGCCTAAAACGTCAACAGTGCTGAGGTTGAGAAAACCTAATTTAGAATTTTTGGAGTTCAATTTCCCACATCTACATATATATCCCAACTCACACCAGTTTTTCTAAGAGAAAAGGAGATAAAGATGTAAAGGGTCCCATACAATAAATGTTATTCTCATTATTCATTATAAATAGTAATTTACTATAGTAATATTCATTGTAAAACTCTAAATATTCCTGTCATCTTATTCAATAGGTCACAACTTGCTCTTTTACTAGATTATTCCATTTCATTGAATATAGTCCTGATAGACCATACCAAAATGAATCACATCCCAACTTGTGTTCTCACAGCTCTGGGAATGTTACTCTATTTTAGCATTTAAATTATATTAGTTATGCATTTCCTTATGCATTCTATTTTTCTCCTGGAGAATCTGCATTGTACCTCACTTTCTAAGATGCCAACCCAAAATTGACACTCAGTAAATGGTAGGAGTAAGTTATTTGAAATGTCCAGTTATGAATGGTTGTGGATTGTTGAAATCATCATATACTTAGGAAGGCTTTCAGCTGCAACTTACCACAAACTTGACTTACATTGGACTCAAAGAAAGGGACGGTTAATTTTACTCTATAGCAAGAAGTCTGAGTTAGGATGCAGGTGTCAAAGACCCAAACTTGAGGTGTCAGCACTAACATCTCTCAGTTCTTTGGTTTTCCCTGAAGGCTGGCCTTTTCACTTGAGCTCTAGGTATCTTTGACCGTGCTCAAGGTAGAAAGTAGAAGGAAGTGAGGAACATTATTTAGGCTGCATCTATACTTTAATTTCAGTAAACAATAACTTTTCCAGAAGCTTCCTTGATTGAATTCTGCATATATATCATGATCTGGAAGTAGGTTACATTCAAACTCCTCTCTGCAAAAAAAAAAAAAAAAACAACCTAGGAAAGTGAGTATGTATATTTCTAGTCTTTGTGTTGCAATGCGCAAGGGAGAAGGGGGCTGACAATGGCTTTGGGGGCACCATCCGCACTAGATGTCTTCCTTATCGCAGTCCATTTTGAAATAAACTTGCTATTCATGGAACTTGTAATTAAAAAAGGAAGTTAGATATTTCAAGTACTTACAGATCTGAGAGAGAATACTAGTCAAAGACGAAAGCTCCCTCTAATTTTATCTTCCCATTAAATAGAAAATGAGTCCCAAAAGGTTTACAAAAAGCATAACAAATACCAAGAACACAGAAACGTTCAATTTTATGTTTTTAAAAATTATCAATATGTTTATAATCTGTTACTTTAAATAAAAGCAATAATAAAGAGGTAATAGTAAACCTTTGTCATTTAGGGGGACTCCAGGATATAATATCATTTCCCATTTGGGAGATAATGCCCCGCTGATACAGTATTGAAGGGGATGGTGTCTTCCCTTCCATCATAGAATCTAAATGGGGAAGATTGCTCTTCTCCCCATGGCTTCCGGCAGGGCACAAGCAGCAGCAAGACCTGCCCTCTGCCAGCTGGACTTTCCTCCCTGGGACTTTGAGTTTCTTATGAAAGGAGGGGCAGGATTTATTCGCTGTGAGAGTGACCAACAGCAGCGGGTCTCTGCAGCAGTGCAGGGCTGGCCTTGCCAGACAGGTCCTGTTAAAATATCCTTGATGCATTTGTTGTGCTCTTTCTGCAGAAACTTCCTTTTCTTTGTTTAAAGTATCCAAAATCAGCTGTAGGTTTGCAAACAAGAGCCCTGGCTGGTAGTGTAACAATTGGTAGGTATGCATATTTCTGCTTACAAAGTTAAGGTCAAATAGAATTTTTGACTTTATATGACAAACATAGATTTGCACCATATATTTTTTTTCTACTTGCAAACTAAAGGTACAATCATTAGCAGCAAGTGGACAAAAGGCCCCAGAAAGAAGAATGGAAAGACAAGCAATCTCCACTTTGGCATTTTGGATTTTGAGGCTGGTATAGGATGAACAACACTCCTGCTGCTTCTACAAATTTTCTGTACATTTCCCCTTTTAATTCCTTATCAAGCGATGAGTCTGTCTATGAACCAAGACCATACACAAAATGTATTTCCTTGCTTCCTTTTATTAAAATTTTCCATTGTCATTTCCGTTGTAGTTGAGAAGTTAACAAGAACAGAATCTCCTGCCAACCATAGCAAATACGCAAACCCAAAGAGAGCAGCTTTGACAAAGCTCGTATAGATGAACCTAGGACCTCATGAATCAGAGCTAACACACGCACTGATAATGGAAACATCTTATCCACATCTGATTTGCTCTCACGTAGTTATTTAGATAACAAATAATGCATTCCTGGATAAGGAGCCTCCGACTTGATTTCAATCACATAGTCCAAGAAAATATGAAATGACTGCCAACCCAGCAGACATAAATCTCTGCTATCTCATTTTCATCACAGTCTCTGCATTGGAAAAATGTGAGCGAAAAGGCATTTTCTCCCACCTTGTTTAATACACAATTACACGGTTTAGAGAAGATAAGAATTCCAAATTATTAGAATGACAACATTACTCACACAATTCCCTGAGAACCCAAAGTATTCCCCCTCCCCTAAAGGTAGGAGCAGCAAAACAGAACCACTAAGAATGAAAAATGTTAATTGTTTCATCTTCTTTAATTTGGGGCTGAATAACACAGGCTGTGTGTCGCTGAGTAAAATATTCATTTGAAAGAAAAGACTGTTGCGTGACATATTCCCGACTAAGGACAATTTAAACTAATTCTAAGGAAACTCTTACATACTGCACATGCCGTAAAATAAGCAATCCACCTAGAAGCCAAATAAACATGTATGAGCAATGTGGGTGAGTTATGATTGCCCTGGGAGTCTTGGTTTTACTTTTCCTGGACCTTGTGGGTTTAAATGATGCTGTAGCGTAGATATTGACAAATGGATATAGTTGTACGGTTAGGCCTCTTGGGTTCAAAGAAATGCTGTTGCTGTGGAAATACTCAGCCATCTGAGTAACAGGAAGTGTTCATGGCTGCATTTGCTAACTTGTTCATCCCCTCACAGTGCTGATCTCTGCTATCCCATCTGCCTTGCACTAGCACCTGTGTGTGTCCTTGGCCCCAAGCAGGCAAGCCCTACCATTTAGCCATTTGCTCCATGCCGATTTTCAGCCACCTCAGAGTCTCTTCTCCCTTCTCTGCTGTAATCTCATCTGTTTCTTAAATCTTCCCAGAACTAGTCCAATCCATTCACATCTTTCCCTTAGGAATATCTTTGCTTATGGCAGTGGTGGGTGGAAGAAAGGTCCTGTTGCTATTTTATGAATGTGTCTTGATCCTGCCTTTTCCAATCGATGGGAAATTCCTTGAGGACAGGCCCATCTCTTCTTGCTTCTAGACTTCCTGGGGTGACACAGCCGGATTATAGAGAATATAGCCTCTCAGGGAAAAGTCATTTCCATAGAACAGAGTCATTCCTACCTTCTATTTCCA